GACACACAAGCGTTGAAAAGAATAAGTTAGCAATCTAGGGCTGTCAGGACTGTATTGTGTCCAGCCTGTATAGATTTCCCTGACACCGTATTTTTCGGAGTATAAGATGCCCCCCCCCCCCCCCCAAAAAGGGTGAAAATCTGGGTGCATCTTATACTCCGAAAAATACGGTGTCAGGGAAATCTATACAGGCTGGACACAATACAGTCCTGACAGCCCTAGATTGCTAACTTATTCTTTTCAACGCTTGTGTGTCTGTACTTGGTGGACCACGGGGAGGGGGGAACTAGCTTTACACCAATTAACTAGTGGTGATTGGATTGCTGCCTCTTCTGGGCTCCTCCATTGACCTTGCCTTGCCTCATGTCATGATGCCTTGTGTCTGGTCAGAACCAATGCCGGCTTCCATTTTCCGCACATGCAAATACAGCTAGTTTCCCCCACACACACTGAAGTGGTACCTATTTATCTATTCACAACCTTGCATACTTTCAAACTACTGAATGGGCAGGAACTAGGGATCGAGTGACAGGAGCTCACACCATCTCATGAAACTGGGCTCGAACTGCTGGAATGCAGACCATTTCTGGCCAGCATTAAGACCATTAAGTCACTGTGCCATCGTTTCCCCTGGCAAAACGTTGAAGATTGTCTATTTGAATTCCGTTCAAACTGAAATTGGGGTAGGTCTGCATACTGTTTAGGTTTCAGATTGGGGGCTGATAGAAAACATGGCTAGGAAAACAGCTCTATTTCACTTGGCCTGATGTAGAGGATGCTGATTTTAACTGGGGCCAAAATTGATATTCAAAAATCCATGCCTCCAATGACATATATAAGGTATTTGTCACATTTAAAAAAAACAGAACTGACATATTTCAAATATGGTAGGCTGTAGGAGTAAAATGGAGTGGAGGATTTATTATACTGTGGTACTTTACACTGGAAGTACTCATAATTTTTGTGAGAGTTTGATCTTGAGTTGAGTAACTTCAACATTTAAAAAATTATGCTACACTTAAACGATTAGGATTTATTTAGAAACATGAAAAAAAATCTTTGGCCATCAGCCGACCATGGAACATTCTTGTAGTAGGTTTGATTCTGAACTCTAAACAGAAAACATTACAACAATATATTGAACTGAGTCGGGTAATCATTTTGATAGATAGCTTTTAAACTAGGATCCATTTAATTGGTTATTAATCAGGCTATGTCTAGACTGATAATGTGAAAGATTCTCCAAATATTTCATAGTGGTGAGATGTTGAGTATTCCTGAAGTGCTTTTAGATCATGGAGAATGGAGGGGGGATTATGTCTGGACAGGTTATTTAAAAAGTAGCTGCCTATTCATCAACTAGATTTAAATCTTGCAATTCTGTACAATGCTTTTCCCACTTGACTATAACAATGTGAAGTGGTTGACTAATTCTCTTGCACACACCGACTTTTAAAAAGGAAAAGGGTGGGAAATGGAAGGTAAGAGATTCACATTACATGGTATCTCACACTGATGGAATAGATAGGAGAGGCAGCCGCATGTAAGCTGAAACACTGGATTTTCAGCACACAAAAGCAAGAGGACATTCTATACTGTTTGTTCTCTCTTTGTGTGCAGTTCATTTACAGGGCTGGTCTTGCTTGGGGTAGAAAAAGGCTTTATTTGTGTTTCATGGCTGGGAGATTCTATTTCAAAGTACGGGACTTGCCTGGTATGTTGAAAGGTAATGTTAATGTTTCCTGTGTGCCAGGCAGCATTGTGCTATGCAACTCTGGATTTGAATGGTTTCCTGAGAGCCAAAACAAGGGGCAAATGATAAATTATAGAGAGGTGACATTCACGTAACAGGACAGAATGCAGAGGTGAAATTGACTGATTTGAAATTCTGGATAATGAGTTTGATCAGATCCAAGCTGTAGCTCAGAAGGGGGCAGGTTTTGCATGCAGGATGTCTCTGGTTTACTCTCAGTATATCTAGTTACAGTAAACAATACTGAAGCTGATGGCCCAGTTTACTAAGATAGTGCAAGGCAGTTTTCTATGAAGTATTTGTACTCAGATATTATAACTAATCGGCTTCTTAACTGAACACTTAGGTGCTAAATGGTGGGTTTTGCTGTTATGTGGAATAGAATGTATGGTTTTCCAGCTCTCAGGTTTTTTTTTCTTCTTATCTTGCTGGGGAATAGCAGAATTTTAAATTCATCTTTTTCAAAAAAGCAAACTGGACTGTTTTTTTCCTTGGAAGACCTTTTGCTTCTCATCCAAGAAGCTTCTTCAGTTCCAAAAGTGCTTTTTTCAAAAAGAAGCTTTTTGGATGAGAAGCAAAAAGTCTTCAAGGAAAAAAACAAGTCCAGTTGCTTTTTGAAAAAAAAGCACTGATAGGATTAGTCCAAGACATTTTCCCATCACTACATATATAGTACTTGCCAGAGGCAATGGACTTCAACTATCAATTCTGATCAACTTAAGATACCAGATTAGAGAAGGATGATCTTAACAGCAGCTAGTGGACAATACAGCCACAATACAGATGTGAGGATTCCTTCTTTCATCTCTTGGAATAACTGGATGGGACATAGATTGATAGTCATCCCCAAGAGAAAAATATTGCTATGAGTTCCTAGTCCATCTTCTTTTTAGGAAAGATGGGAAAGATCTAGTTAAGATTCTGTGCAGTTCGGAGAACTCCCAAATCCCACTCCTGGCTGGCCCTGCCCACCCCACCCCACCCCTCCCAGGAATCCCCACACGGCCCGTTTTGGATGCAGATAAGTGCAGGGCGCTTATGGAGGCTCAGAAAGGGTGAAAAATGGGCCTCTGGAAGTTCAGGAAATCTGGAAACAGGTTTCCAGAGGGCCTCCAGAACCTGGGGAAGCTGTTTTCACCCTCCCGGAGGCTCAAGGAAAGCCTCCGGAGCCAAGGAAGGACAAAAATCCCTCCCCCACTGTGGTGCAGGAGGCCGCTTAGGCCACGCCCACCATGGCCACACC